TAGTTACTCATAACTTCAACCGGTAGTTATTTGGGCTGGGTTCTTATTCTAGATTGCCTGTAATTTAACGTTACCTTATGTAAATCCAGCTGTCAACGTCAAGTCAATGAACTGTCATTCATTGATTCAGTGCTTTTGTGTGCGCTTTCATGCCAGTGGTGTCTACAGCAATGTCTATAGATTTATTTGAAATGTAGTTAAATTATTTGTCAACCTCGAAACATGCTCAATTAATGACAGCTTAACTATGTATATACAACATAATTGTATTGGAAGTTGCTGACAGGAAGCGAACTCTGTTTTCAACGAGATTTGTCGACATATAACGGCTTGTATAATACAGTAAATACAGTGTATTGCAATTTTATAGACTAGAGTTTTAGTCAATGGAGAAGATGTCTCCAATTCCTGTTCTTCCTCTTATCATCAACTCTTGTATGTCTGCACTGGGGTGCATTGCAACAGTCAAGCTTATTCCTGCTTTTAAGAATCATTTCATATCTGCAAGACTCTATGGAATGGACCTAAATAAAACCACAAAGAAAGAGGTGTAAGTGATTGATTTTCTTTATATTATTGTGCATTAAAAGTATGCATTGCAATTTGATGTCTGATACCTGAATTCAATTTTCTCTCCTTATTAACCAGACCCGAATCACAAGGTGTAATCAGTGGCACAGTCTTCCTCATCATTCTCTTCCTCTTCATCCCTGTCCCCTTCCTCCAGTGCTTTATGGGAGAGAAGTGTCAACGCTTCCCTCACAACGAGGTGAGCGAATGATTCCCTAATCATAAATAATAAACATTTCAATAATGTTTGAGGTCAGTAAAATAAATTATGTTGAAAGAAGTATTTATTTTTTAGAAAAGATTTCTATGTAAAATAAATGCAGTTCTTTTGAATTTTCTATTCACAAAGAATCATGAAAAAATGTATCATGTATTCCACAAAAATCAAGCAACACAACTGTTATTAACATCTATAATAATAATAAGCAGAAATGACTCTTGAGCAGCAAATCAGCATATTAGACTGATTTTGAAAGGAGTAATGGTACTGAAAATTTAGCTTTGCCATCACAGGAATAAAAAAAAAAACAGTTAATATATTTATTCTGTTATAAATAAATATTTCTGAATATTTTTTTTCCCCAAGATATAACTGTTTTCACTGTATTTTTCAAATAAATGCAACCTAGGAGAACATAACAAACTTTTTTCACAAAACATTAAAAAGTCTTAATGACCCAAAACCTTTTTTTTACCAGTAGTGTGTTCTTAGACAAAAATGATACGGCAAACTAATTTGAACCTTAGCCTCAAATGACTTTGATACCAGAGAAACTTCACAGCCATACATGCAGTGGGAAAATTATGCATTTGTGGACATGTGCAACCTTGCTGAATAATTTAGCCACATATAATTGTAATAAAATGGCATTCATTCTGTTTCAAGGTATCTATTGAAGTACTATGGTATTACTATGTGATACCATCACTGTGATATTTGTGCACTACAGTATTCCAATATTTCCTGTACTAAAATATTTATACAATTTGTTCTTTTGTCTCTTCTTGATCAATGATATGTCCATGTTAGTTTGTGCAACTGATCGGTGCATTGTTAGCCATCTGCTGCATGATATTCTTGGGTTTTGCTGATGATGTTCTGAACCTACGATGGAGACACAAGCTACTGCTGCCCACTATGGCCTCCCTGCCTCTACTCATGGTCTACTTTACTAACTTTGGCAACACTGTGATTGTCGTGCCCAAACCTTTTCGTGTCCTGCTGGGAATGCATCTGGACTTGGGTGAGTTTGACGGTTAGATAGTATGCTTAAATGTCTGGTGCTCTGTCTTGACACAGAGAGGTTGATTTTATTGGCATTTTGTTTGATATGTAGAATATGTTTTTTGTATTCTAAATAGATTTTTTATATGCGTTTCAGGCATTCTGTATTATGTGTATATGGGAATGTTGGCTGTGTTCTGCACAAATGCCATCAACATCTTGGCCGGTATCAATGGTATTGAGTCTGGACAAGCTCTCTTCATATCTGGCTCCATCATTCTCTTTAATTTACTGGAGCTCAATGGTGAGAGGAGAGCCTATTTTCAACATATTTGATAATTTTTTTACATGCTGGTCAAAATTTTAGAATAATTAAGATTTGTTTAATGTTCACCCAGCATGCATTTGTATGATACAAAAATACCACCACTGTAATATTGCGAAATATTATTACAATTTAAAATACTTGTTGTTATATTAATATATTTTAAAATGTTAAAACTAAATCAGTATATTAGACAAATTTCTGATGGATCGTGTGACACTGAGGACTGGAGTAATGATGCTGAAAATTCAGCTTAAATTCAGCAAATAATGGAAATAATGGAATAAATAATGGAATCATTAACCAATAATGGAAATCATAATAATATAAAAGTCTTTAAAAAGATTAAACATTTTGAACTATTCCAAACTTTTGACTATTATATATAGAAATGATTTAAGTTATTGCTCAAACCTCACTGACATTGCTTGAGTTTATTTAAATAAGCACTGCAGCTATATTCTCTCTCTTAAAGAGAATTATCTTGAATTATTAAATTGATCTTTGATTAACATTTATTTTTCAGGAGACTACAGGGATGACCATGTTTTCTCTTTGTATTTCATGATTCCCTTTTTCTTCACCACATTAGCCCTCTTCTACCACAACTGGTTTGTAAAAACTATTTCTTTTTGATTATCTTTACCTGTGAAATATGGTTTAGTTTAAGACAGGCCTCTGAAATACTGTACTCTGTAAGTTATTATACTTGACTATCAAAAATAATCTTCACCTCAACCACTTTTGTTTTTGAACAAATAACAAACCTCTACTTTGAATACCTCTCAGGTACCCTTCATCTGTGTTTGTGGGAGACACTTTCTGTTACTTTGCTGGAATGACGTTTGCTGTGGTCGGGATACTCGGACACTTTAGTAAGACCATGCTGCTTTTCTTCATCCCCCAAGTCATCAACTTCATTTACTCCCTGCCTCAGCTGTTTCACATTATCCCCTGCCCCAGACATCGCCTTCCTAGGTGGGTTTTTACACTAACATTTTAAAATCATACTATAATGAATACTCTTTTGTTTTATTCGCAGAGTGGAATTTAATTTGACCTAAAATTCTCATAAGTTCTTTGTAATCAAAGTCTTCATGCATTACAGTTATAATATGTACAGCGTTTCCTAAGCATTTACACCATAGATAAAGCAACAGGAAACGGTTTTGAGAGCTTGACCTCTAAAATTGATTAATACAGGTTACAGTCTGACACAGGAAAACTTGGCATGAGCTATTCCAAGTTCAAACAGAAGGACCTAGGCAAATTAGGACAACTTATTCTGAAGGTAAATACACATGCCACTATCAGTATTTATCATTCAAAATGGGTTTAGGGCTGTTTGTTTGAAAGGAATGTTGTTGATGGCCAACAAAAGATCTAGGAGCACATCCTATTTGGTATTCGGTGTTTGAATGTGATTTCCTCTTGTATCCTGCAGGTGGCAGAAATGCTATGGCTTCTGGATGTGCGTAGAGGGCTGGAAGGAGATGATGAGTTTATTGAGTGTAACAACATGACCCTTATCAACCTGGTTCTAAAAGTACTGGGACCTACCCATGAGAGAAACCTTACTGCAATCATGCTGTTAATGCAGGTGAATCCCTAGTTCAGATGTAATGTGCAATACTATGGTTATTTCAATTCAAAGTGGTTTGAAACAGTAAAGAAGGTTGTGATATATTACAACCTCACTAAAGTGTGAGAAAGCATCATTAGTGGTTCAGTGTTATTTAAAGCATAAAGGCATAACATGCTGTTTAAAATGCTTTACATACAAATTATAATCAAATATCAACAGCAACATCACATCCAATAAAAACTAGCATCAAACATAAGGGATAAAAGAAATGAAATGCAACACATACAGTATAAAATACTAAAACATATGAAGGACAAACATAGAGGTAAAACTAATCACCTACAACACAAAATACAATTTATTAAAGGCATAATTCAGAGTAACTAGTTAAATCCCAGAGTAAAAAGTTGTTTTTAACTTTCTTTTTAAAATAATTGTACTAGTGTAGCTTCCCTAATATCTGATGGTAGTGTATTCCACAGTTTTTGGTACATAATTCGCAAAGGCCACATCAACAATTTTCTTTCTTCTGTAGCTAAGAGAACCTCCAATAAACCTGCATTGGAAGTTCTTAATGTTCTTCAAATGAGACTGTTGATTTGGTAGATTTAAATAATATTACAATTCTTACTATATTTCTTTCTTAGGTCTTGGGGAGTGCTGTTGCGTTTGGAATCCGGTATCACCTTGTGCGTCTGTTCTACGACGTCTAGAAAACTTGCGATCCTGAGAGACTTTACAACCTGCTGCTTTCAATTAGAGAACAAACTGTATCAACAGATTATTCTTTTTTTTATGGTCACTATACTGCCTGTCACCTATAAATGATGGAATCTCATTACAATACACAGTGTATTTCAGCACTTCTGTCTATAGATCTGCATGTAAAGGGACAAGTCTACACATTTGCCCTTCATTTTCATTAGAACAGGAAGGCTCATGCATAAGGATTTACAATAATTTGGGGGTGACTTGAAAAGCAGAGAGTTATATTTTGAAAGATGATTTGAAACACTTACATTCAGGGATATTTAAGGCAGTTGGGGAAATTTTTGAGAGCATTTCTGAAAGATTACTTGATATACAGTATGTACTTATATTTTTCTGTGTCAGATCTGATATTATACCTTTGACACATTTGAATAAACCAATGTGACAATGGACCACACTAGCTTCTGGGAAGAAAAATATCAATTTTGTCTACTGTTTTTGTACAGCACTCAGACATTAACCCTAATCCATATTTGTAGTCATCTCACGTGGGTTTTTTAAATGTTAAGGGCTTCCAAATGTGATTATCCCATTCCCTTCCTAAAAGGAAGCTGTACAAAAAGCTTTTTATATTTTGCGAGTATAGTATGTGTGGTATTGTAACGACAACGTATTGTTTCCAAAATTAAATAACTGCCTTTTATTTGTCATTGAATTAAAATTACAGCAAACTGGCAATATTATTTCAAAAAACATATTAATATAATTACATATTAAAATATAAGAAAACGAATTTTCAGTTCCATACAGATTTATTTGTATATCGTTGAAATTCCATAGCAGGTTCATTAAAAATAGCAAAGTATCAAGTGAGATTCATTTTTAGGGGTTGTTAGACAGGCACTAGTCTATGGACATGCATTACTCCCACTGACTCTGAGTACGATGCGGAACACTTGAAATGGTTTAGATGTCGGAGGGAATGATCATTGTGATGTACTGCTAAGCTGCGATTTGATTGGTTAAGATTTGAACGCGACGCAGCAATGTTGAAATCTGATTGGTTTGTTTTTTTCGTGGGAAAGAATATTGAGGAAATGTTTGAAGTATTTGCTAACGGTGAGTTATTTCTCTATTCATTTAACAACTCGATGCACTCCCTCACAAAATGTCATTGGATGAAACCACATTTAATTATTCTCAACCCAAGCTAACGAAAGGTACTAACGTTAGTCAACAAAATGGAGGCAGAATGTTTACTTCCCTTTTGTTTTGCTATCCAGCTAAGTTATGCCTGATGCTAGGTTAACAAGTTTGTCCATGGTTTCATAAAACTACTAACAGTGCTTTTGGCAGTTATTAAATTGCATGTTGGAGTTAATCATTTGTGGTGCAGTTAGTTTACAGTACAGTTAGTTAGTAACTGACTGACAGCTATGAACAGTTAGCTCGAGCAGAACCAACTTCGATCTCATATGTGAATTTACTGTGTGTTTTAGAGGATTGGAGGACCACACATTGTGCTTTACATTCAGTGCCTCATGATGCACCCGTCGGGTAAACGAGCCACGCGCAGAGAGGAGCTGCTGCTGGAGTTGGCTTGTGAGTGGGGCTCGTGTCAGGAGACGTTTGACAGGATGCAGGACTTCTGCCAGCACGTGGAGAAACATTATAAAGCTACCGTGGACAGCGAGACAGACTTACCAGGTGCGTTCAACACCTGTGGCCAGTTGCATAAACAACACTCTGCTTCTATGTACTGTCTGACCAACTTGTTATTCAAGAGGTATTCAGTATTATTTTTTTGAATTCATATGATACCAATCTACGTTTTTATGTAAGTTAGCTGACATAAAAATTAGATGACTGACTTCTAATGCTAGTATAAGCAGTTTATAACTGGCCACTGGAAGTGTCAGCATTGATTTGTCCTTTAAACCATTTACTTATTTTCCTGTCTTAAAAAAAAATAGTTCATTAAAAATAGAAAACATTACTAAAATATTACTAAAAAAACAACATTTTTGTTGATTTTAAATAAAGCTGAAATGTCAATGTTAAATGGAAAAAGAAAAAAAAATTGGCAACTAACTGAAATGAGAGTAAGGTTGTAAGTACAAAATATTTAAAAGTAAAACCTAAACCTGAAAATACTATTTAGAAATATTTAAAAGAAATATTAAAAATGGCAAAAGCACAAAAATGACTAAAAATAAATCAATTTCAACAACTGAAAATATACAAAATAAAAGCTCATTCAAAATATTAATATAAACTTCAATAGTATATAAATAACAGCTTTTGTTGCAATTGTGAGATGTAACACAATTAATGAGAATTTTTTGTGTAAAAATGAGGAATAAGGTTTCAGTTATTAATGTAAGTACACAATATATATACTAGGACTAGTGTACAATAATAAAATCTGGTTTAAGGTGTTCAAAGGAGATTATTAGTGCTGAGAGAGGGACAGGAACACATTACATTTCTTATTTCTTCATCCATTTCACCAACAGTCACTGGCACACTTATGCATTGTTCATCTATCTGTATAGATGAACATTGCACATCATCAGCAGGTGATTGTCTCTGAGTATTAAGCTATAGCAAGCATATCAGCATTCCTCGGGTTTCTGGCTTCATTGTCCTGGTCCACAATTAGCCCTAAGCTTGCCTGCATGCTTTACAGATGAGGAGCATAACTGTCTATGGCAAGACTGTGGTTTCTGCTCGGTGGAAGGAGATCCGGAGCTTCTCAGACACATGTTTTTCCATTGCTACCACACCAAGTTGAAGCAGTGGGGACTTGCTATACTCAATGGCCACAGTGATATGGGTGCCTGCTCGGTCGGCCTGCAGAACCGCAACATTGTGCCTGAGGTTCAAGAGAACTTCCTCTGTCTTTGGGAGCATTGTGAGGTACGAAGACAATCCAACATATTCTTTTTAAGTACTGTAGACGATAAATTGCATGTGGCTCGTCAAATCAGATCAAGTACTCAGCTGATAAGTATGTTTGTATTCAGATGTCTATGGATAATCCAGAGTGGTTCTACAGACATGTGGAGATGCATGCCCACTGTCTCGAGGCTAATGAAGAGAATGTTTTGTTCTGTGGCTGGAAAGGTAAGAAATGATAGTATTTTTCTTTATTATTATTATGTTGTCAATTATTATTTTATTATGTATTCAAAGAATACTTCACCCAAAAATAAAAAATTCAGTCATCATTTACTTACCCTGAATTTATTATTTTGTTGTAAATTAAGATATTTTGAAGAATGTCTGTAACCAAACAGTTGATACACCCAATTGAATTGCATAGTTTTGTTTCCCTTGCTATAATGGGAAGACTAATTAAAAAAGAAAGTAAACAACATATTACCGCTTTGTCACGACAAAATCAAAACTTGAAATTGCTGGAAAATATGATGACTGTGCTGCCTTGGGGAAATTAAAGGTACAATACATCTTTGTGTCTGCGTCTTTGACCAGTGTGTACAAGCTTGATGACTGCTTAAAAAAAAAAATAATACATTGTTTATATAAATAAAATGTATAAAAAAAATAAATTGTTATTGCCTTTACGTTGTTATTTTGGAATAAATGTAAAAATGCGTAAAAACAACAAGTAAAACGTACTTGGTTTTAAAAGAACAGTACATAGTTAGTGTAAAATACAAAATAGAATTGTATTTGGTCCCTTTTTTATATAATGTTTATTTAATTAAAAATATGTGTAACAGAGACGTACATTTTCATTTGATATACACCACTGATGCTCATATATTATAATATGACTTTTCCAGGTATAAATATTACACTTTTAAAATAAAGCTACCTGATGTATCCAGTGGAAATCCAAAAACAGTTGGGGGTGAATTCAAATATCTTTTTATTTTTAGTTGTTTAAAGTCAACATGAAATCAAAATTGATAATCCTTTTTTTTTTATGGAATATTGCAGTATTTATTATAAATTATTTATCCATACTGATAATTATTTTTTCAAAACACATGTGTCCTCATAATATTTGATCAAAATAACTTCTTGCTGTTTTACTCGGAAGATATTTACATTTCTACTATCTATGAGAGTGAACTACATGGCAGAAAAAAACATCTTAGTTGAATGTGTAGAAATGTTCCTGAAAGATTTCCCTTCTCACAATGACTTTCACAGTTCATCACAGTTTTGAGAAGACATTAACTTTTTCCTTTTGACTTCTAGATTGTGAGGCCTCTTTCAAGGGCAGGTTTAAGTTGCGAGAGCACATGCGTAGTCACACACAGGAAAAGCTGGTGGCATGTCCGACCTGCGGAGGAATGTTCGCCAACAACACAAAGTTCTTCGACCACATTCGACGACAGACCTCCATAGAAGGTGAGAGAGATTCTATTTCAGGTGGTACACATGCAGCAATAACAGGGAATCTTTAATTCTTCTATTGATCAATTCAATTGGACTTATTTCAATATAAGCATTTCAAATCTAATTATTATGGGCCAGTTGTTTATGTGTGCATTTTTTTATAGGTCAAAGGTTTCAATGTTCCCACTGCTCTAAACGTTTCGCCACTGAGCGGCTGCTGAGAGACCACATGAGGAACCATGGTATGGGTATTTTTGTGTGTTATCTTTCACAAAGGTTGTACTTTGTTTTGCTGTATTGGAACTTTCAGGCCTTTATTGCCTGGTATGGTGTAACCTGGTTCTTCTAATGATGTGCTAACCTGTTCTCTGTTCAAAGTCAACCATTATAAATGTCCACTTTGTGATATGACCTGCCCATCACCATCCTCGCTGAGAAACCACATCAAGTTTCGTCATTCCAATGAGAAACCTTACAGCTGTGATTACTGCGAGTACAGGTGAGGCTGCTACATCACCAACGACTGTGACTCCTTTAATCTTTTGGCTTGCAATGTAAGACATGACCTGTCAGTTTGTTTTTGTTCATGTGGTTTTCAGCTGTAAAAACCTAATAGACTTGCGGAAGCATTTAGACACACACAGCAGTGAGCCAGCGTATCGATGTGACTTTGCTGACTGCGATTACTCCACCCGCTCCCTTTACTCAATCAAGAACCACTACAAGCGCATTCATGAGGTGAGTCATTTGGAAAGTAACAGCAACATTCACCAATAAGGAAAAGACAAAAGTATAAAACAACAACAAAATCATCTTTTGTGTTCCACAGAAAGTGGAATACAGGTTCTGAACAATGCTAAGCCTTTGCTAATTTGTCAATTGAATTAAATAAGGCTAGGCAATAGGTAACTGAAATACGTAAGATTAGTACATTGTTATATGTAATGCTGTTAATGTTGTTTTACCATGAGATTAATTGATTTAGTTTTTTTCAAATGTAAATGGTAAAATGGCATTTGTTTTATAGCTGGTAATTGAAGTAAGAATGAAGGACTCTTATAATGTTAAAGTCCAAGGTTTGATCTATACTAAATATCCATCTAATCTAGAATTAACTAATGTTGGAACTGATATAACTTCACTCAATAAATGATAAAATAAACAGTGTGAACAAACTAGCTGCATCAAAAAGTGAATATAATTCTACATCACTTCAAATGTACAGTAACTGATCTTCAGCTCATAGCTCCAGAATAGCTATAGATGTTAATGTGCTGTTTTTGCATTTAGGGAGATTACACTCCTCGCTATAAGTGTCACGTGTGTGAGCAGTGCTTTACCCGGGGGAACAACCTCACCGCCCACTTACGCAAGAAACATCAGTTCAAATGGCCTTCAGGACACCCGAGATTCAGGTTTGAAGGCTTCCTTCTTCCTTGTGGCCACCACCCATTAAGTTTTCATTACATATTTCCTTAACCATCTTACTATTCAAAAATGTGGGATCTCTTCGATTTTTATGTTTTCGAAAGAAGATTTATATTCAAAAATAGTACAAAACCGTAGTTTTGTGAAATATTATTGCATTTTAAAATAATGGTTATCTATTTTCCTTTAGTTAAATATAATATTTCCTTTTAATGGTAAAGTTTTCTGCAGCCATTACTCCAGACTTCAGTGTCAAATGATTCTTTAGAAATCATTCTAATATTGTATTTTGGTGTTTAGGAATCGTTTAGGAATATGGTCAATGTTGAAAACAGTTGTGCTGCTTAACATTTTTGTGGAAGCCAAGGCTGCATCTGAAATAGAATACTCTCCTGAGTTGGTATTTATTTTGAATGAGTGATTATGTTGCGACTGCCAAAACAAATGTTGTGTAGTATGAAGAATGTAATCCAGATGGACTACATTCGCCAGGTTGTCACTGTCATGTGACCTACCAGCGTCAGTTTTGTCACTTCATTGGCAAACCTCTCCTGTGACCCCCATGGGATAGTAAAATGTCCATCAGTATGGCATGTGCAAACTTCAGAATCATCAAGTCATCTTCTTTTTGCCTACACTCTTATAAATACTATGAATTCAGACATAGTGCTCTCATCGCTGTTTTGGTTTTATAGCAGGGATGGATGTGATTTCGGATGCAGCCCATGATAAAAAAAAAGCAGAAAGCTTTGATGAATTGAAATTTATTTGTATCTTTTGTTGAAATACAAAAGCTTTTGCTGTCACTTTTGATCAATGTATCAATTTAATGCATCCATGCTGAATTAAGTTGAATAAAACTTTCTTAAAAAAAACATAGTGATCCAAAAATTTAGTAGTGTAACTAACAGTGGATCCCATGGGTGCTATTTAATTAATATTAATTTTAATTTTGGTTTCCAGTTGACAAACCTTACCCGTCTAACCTGACTATGGTCTTTTACACTTTGCCAATCCCTCGTTTCAGGTATAAAGAGCACGAGGATGGATTCATGCGTCTGCAGCTGATCCGCTATGAGAGCGTGGAGTTAACAGAACAGCTGATGCGGGAGCGGCAGGGCGAGGGGGACAGCAGTGAGTCCAGCCAGCAGAACGTCCAATCTGGGGAAGAACTGGAGGAGACCATGGCGGGAAATAAAGAGGCAGGAATAAGAAAAGAGGGAGCAGAGGTCTGTAGGACTCAGGAAAATGCAGAAAGTGTGTTCTTGGTGTTGATGGCCGGCACCTCCTCAGAAACAGACTCTACAAGAGAGGGGTCAGTGATGTGTCAGCTACAGGACACTGCCCAACAGCTGGGCATGGAGGTGGTTTAACAGCTATTCGAATCCCTCCCTAAGACTGCTGTGTCAGATATAAAAAGAGACATTAGGACATTCCTTTTAACTCTGTGACAATACTCATTGTACAATGAGACTAACAGGGGACCAAACCTGGATAAGAGTGTTTTAGGATGCTGTCATCCTCAATCACCTTGAACACTGCACTGAAACAGAAAAGATCAAGCTAAATCACAAGTTAGCTCTGGGGATTGCTTAAAGAGATGATTCACTTTAAAAAGAACATTTCTGTGATAATTTACTGACCCTGTGTCATTCTGACACTATATTATTTTGGTATGGCATGAAACAAAGTAAGGTGTTGTTTAGTAGATTGTTTGACCTGCCTTTTTCCATTCTATGAAAATAATAAATTAATAGCAATTTATACTACCAAGCTCCAAAGGGGCAAGAAAGCATCATGAAATTATATGAAACATAGTCCATATGACTTGTAAGTAATATTATAAATGCTGTTTTTCCCTTTTTGGAGTTTGGAATCATAAGTTACCTGCCTTGTAAGTAATATAAGGTAATAGGAACACACAAACACACACCTCTATTTGTGTTTCACACGGAACAAGGAAAATACAGGGTTGGGTGATTAAATGATAATTTGTACTATTAAAAACTAACTATCCTTTTATATTTGACTGTTTGGGTGTGTAAGGAAGTGAGAGAGAGGAAAGTAAAGGGGACTGGAAATGTTTAATCCTACTGAACAATTTAATCAGCTTTCTTTGACTCTTCAGGTTCAGTGTTAGTGTGAAAGGAGAAGGACTAATCACCTTGGAGACATTTTTACAGTGTGTAGTTTTAACTAATAGTTGAATTGGAAGTGCTTCTGAACTTCAAACTGACTAACACCCGTTTAATTTATTTCAACTTTATATGGAGAATCTGCAAAAACACCCATTCTAACCGAAACTACCTATTCCTGACACTTTTCTATCAAAGTAAAAAAAGGAGTTAAAATAAATTAAAAATAGTTTTGACCTTTCATTAAGATGCACCTTTTCCATCGGACTTTTATTTGCCTTTGAGTCCTAATACTCTAATTGAGAAGGAAAACTATACTAAATGACTTAATTTTATTTGAAATAAACAATGGCAGTTATTTCAGTACATTTTTGTCCTATTTGTTTTCTTTTTCTCCAATTTAAACATTTGCTTACAGGTGGAAATTCTTGCTATTCAAAGGTTTCAAGACATTTAAAAAAAATCTTACAAACGCCAAAATTTAATTGGTAGTGTGTATATTGTGTACTCTGGTATGTTCAGTTCATATTCAGGTAGGTGTTTTCTGGGGATAATCCACTTTGCTCTTAGTTGATCCTGTATGTTGATCCAACGGTACTTGTAAGTCTTGTTTGTTTTAAGGAGAAGTTCACTTTAAAATTAATTTTTGCCATGTTTTAGCTTACCTCAAGGGCATCCAAGATGTAGGTGTCTTTGTTTCCACAGTAGTTTCAATTTTAATATTTTTAGGTCAAACCGTTCTTGTCTGTCAGTCATATAATGCAGGTCTATGGTCACCACCTCAAAGAGCATGCACAGAGAAGTCCAAATTAAACATGATTTAATGACTCTGTAACTACACATTGATGGCCCAAGACACTAAATGAGTATTTTGTGTTAGAAAACAAAGTATTTAAATTGTTTTTACCTCATGTAACCACAGCCACGTCCAAGTGATCTAAGGGCGCGGGCACTTTGGTCTGCGCAAGCACCGGAAAGCACTCTCTTGCACATGTATGTCACTCATTGTTTACACAGAGATTTTGGAAGTGTTACCTTTTAAACATATTTAGATATACAGGAAATCACAATGGAATATGATTTCGATATATCAACAGGCTACGTTGAATTTTTTTCACAACCGTGAGAGAGATCCTTTACGGCGCTTGCCAAACCGAAGCACCCTCAGATGACTTGGACGTGGCTTTAGTTACCAGAGGTAAAAACAATATAAGTGCTGTTCGTTTTCTCACACAAACCGCTCGTTTCGTGTCTTGGGCCATCAATGTGTATTTACACTTATGAGTCATTAAATCATGTTTAATCTGGATTTCTCTGTGCATGCTCTTTAAGGTGGTGACCATAGACCTCCATTATATGACTGATGGACAAGAACGGTTTGACCTAAAAATATCAAAATTGAAACTACTGTGGAAACAAAGACACCTTCATCTTGGATGCCTTTGAGGTAGGCTTAAACATACCAAAAATTAATTTCAAAGTGAACTATCCCTTTAATCTCTCAGGACAAGAGTCAGCAGTCAGGTTGTGCTCGGTTAGGCAGCAGTTAATACATTACTGCAGCAGTCAGTGTTGAGTGCTTTTCACAGATCTATGTTGTTACAGTAATTACACGCACTGCAGATCTCGAGGACATTGGACGAGATAATCTCAAATCAAATGTGAAAAACATGAAATTTAAAATCAGCACAACTGAAAGTTAAGCTAAACTGCAAATCAGCCAAGCCATGGCTCTCTCCCGTTCTCTATAATCTCTTTGTCTCTGCTCTGGTGATAATCGCTGGTGTGTTAGCAGAGTTTAAAAGATTAGTTTGCATTAGGGGCTTAGTGTGAGCTAAGATGCATCACTTCCCCTTTTCTTTCCATCTGTCTTGCTCTGTCTCTGTTTGAAAATTGGTTCTTGGAGATAGTCTGTAAAAAAATACATTTAATGTAAATGTTTTTTCTGTATTCTAATAATTAGAACTTCCATTTTGAGACAACAGAACAATGGATTCCTGAGTAGAGAATGAGTGGATGACGTTCATATGAGGAGAACTGAACAGATATAGACTTTTCTGCATTAGAGAAGTAATACCACCAACGAAACGCCATGAAACTAGAAGCTTTTCTTCTGCTGCTTCTGGGGTCCATGCATGGGGTGTTCACGCAAGTGCCTATAACTGCATTTACTGAACGAACAGCTGTGGAGGAAGATCTAGGAAGTGGTAAGAGGAGCATTTGATTTATTCATGTCTAAACTAAGCTTACAAATTAGACAATGTCAGAAATATTTGAGCGCTATGTCCCTCAGGTCTGTTAGAGGTGGAACAGGAAGATAACCAGGGAGACACTTACTGGTCCGGGACAGCCCCACTTTGTTTTGGAGGGTGTAAGGGCAGACATAGGGAGTTAAAGAGAGACAACTGTGGAGATTCAGACTGCTGCTGGGTGGGATACAAATCCCTCTGTAGAGGTACAACAGATGCACTGCTTTTTATTTGGCATTTCCATAAACACACAGAATATTGTGTGATTATTCTGTTGATTTATTCTGTGTACACTGGAACTTATGTGCTTCATGAGTTTTGTCTAATAAACTTTTGCCCTAGTGAATTGTGGAAAACCTGATGTGGACTTTAACGGGATGGTGTATGGGAGTGATTGGTGGGTGGGTTCTGTGGTGCGGTACGACTGCAGGCCAGGTTTCGTGTTGGTTGGAGATCCTGCTCGAGCCTGCCAGTCTAATGGGAAATGGACGCCCAAACCGTCCTGCCTCAGTAAGTCCTTGTCTGGCTGAACATTGCACACAAATTATGGATTTGCCTGGAAAATGCTCAGATTATGAATACAAGACCTATTCTGTCTTAAGTCTCATATTCTATACATGTATTAAGTTTTTTCAAGTTGTGCTATTTTTTTATAGTTAAAACAATTGGTGAAAGTCTTGGTTTTGGAGGAAAAAAAACAATGCTTGTGGTATATAACATTTTACATTGAAAGGAATTTCATTGGCTGTGAATTACATTTCTGGTGTCCTCCTGTATGTGACATTAGGAGTGTGTCATCGTGGCCGGGTTGAGATCAACGAGAAGGACATTGACGGGACGTGTTCGTCTACCTGTCCTGATGCTAAGAGCTATGCGGTTCCTCTGAACCACGTATGCAGTCGCATTGAGAACTGCAGGACTAAAGAATCAGGCTGGAAGCGCTGGTTTACACGCTGCAACTTCTGCGACTGTGACTGCTTCACTCGCTGTGGTAAGTTTCCAGTCATTTAAGAGTCATTTAAACTGCTGCTAGGTAAAACTAGCAAATAAAAGTACACGAAAAATGCTGCAAAATAAATGTTTTATTTTAAATGCTTTCAGCTTCTACAAGATAGAAGACGGTTAATCTGTTTATCCTTTTCTATGAAGACTGACATTATGTTTATTTGAGTTCTGGAAACAACCGAATGCTTCACATGCAAAATGAATATGTATGTTAGTATTTTATGCATTTGATTATCTATGTAATTGGAGACTGGTAATGTACACTATTTGATTGTCCCTTAATTAACCCTAATTGTTTAAAGATCAGAGAACCCGTTGCTGCAGTGCTCAGTGATTTTATTAAGTATTATGCTGTAGATGCAATCAAATTATTAGATTATTCATTCACTTGATGATTGATACAAGATGTGGGATTGATATAGTATACTGACATGTAGAATCTGAGTGGTCTCATTTGAAACCACAAAATACAAGTGATTTTAGTCCCATCTGGTGAAATTCATAATGAAAATCTCATTGGGCTTGGGTTGGTAGCAGCCAATTCCTGGAAAAGATTGGGGGAGAAAATTAATATTATATATTTTGTGTTGAATTGTAATGAATTGATTGAAAAAGTTGTTGTTTTTTTTCTTGCCAATTGTATTTGCACTCATCATCAGACTGTGGCATATAAGTGCATGCTTTATAATTAAACTCACACACTTACCCACGTCCAGCCTGTGTACAGATTTTCCTTTCTTGGACAGAAGCTCCCAGTACGTGTGGTCTTCAGTACACCCAGCCAGTCCGTTCACACTTTCCAAATATATGCCATAGCTTTTGCTAATGCTGGTTGTGAAACTAATAGAAATAAAGGTAGCAGAACAGAACAAAAATATAAATTAGAACTAAGAAGTTCCCAATTGTCTAAAGGGGTGCTTGATTATGATTTCACTTTTCTAACTTTAATTAGTGTGTAATGTTGCTGTATGAGCATAAACAACATCTGCAAAGTTACAACGCTCAAAATTCAAAGCAAAGCGAGATATTTGCTTTTAAATAAATTCATTTTTAAGCACTACAACAAAAGGCTGGTAGAAATACACAACATTCCTCCCAGGCCAGTGACATCACTAACCCTAAAATTTACATAAACCCCGCCCCGGAACACAATTATTGTTGATTATTAAGACAGAATATACTTATCAATAACTAGAAGATAACTACACATAAGCTAATTCATCTACTAACCATACAGAAATATCCAGTTGCTTCTACATGTTGTCACTTCTCGAGTCTCTCCATCTTTGTCTGACTCTGATTTGAACATAAAATGCTAAAAGTTTTTGAAACTTTCAGTGCATGTTGGTGTGAGGTAAAAGGAAGCTCTTGAAGCTCCGCCCTCTGTGCCGGGAGCAGCTGCTCATATGCATTTAAAGTAAAAGACACAAAATGGTGCGTTTTTGCTTACCCTCAAAAAGTGACCATTTTAACATGCTGTATAAAAATATCTGGGAGGTATTTTGAGCTAAAACTTCACATACACACTCTGGAGACATCAAAGACTTATTTAACATCTTGTGAAAATGGCATTATACCACCTCTTTAAGCCTTGCACAATAAACTTAGAGGTCAAGCCTTGAGTCAGGTCATCTAGTTCACACTACGTGATTTTAAGCCCGATTTAAGCCCGATTTGCAAATCGTTGAGTCGCTGACAAGTCAGGGTGTTATCGCGTGCAAATCGCGGGCGATTAGCGGACGATTAACGCTCGCCAATCCGTTAGTGTGAAAGAGCCAACAACGCACCAAAGACAGCTCGCCGACACCTCGCAGACAGGTCACCGAGCTCAGAAAAATATCTAGCATGCTAGATATCTCGAGCAGTCGCGCGACTCAATCTCAGTGATGTCATGAGTACAGCCAATCATAGCAACGCATGGGTTGAGGACACCAGGTAAATCTTACTTTTTCTTTTCTTTTTTGCATTTTTTTTTCTCAGAGCAGATCGTCGCGCAAACAGTGTGCAGCACTAGTTTCTGTCTGACGTCCATATTCGTGTGTTGTGTTCGTCTCTGCAGTTTCGCGTCATTTCTGGTTCGTTTTATTGCGTGGTTTTTCGTGACAAAACATGGTTTCTAGACCAGATAGAATCGTGTTGTTGTCAACTCGTTATTTGTTTGATTATTTTCAGGATTTAGACCGTACTATAGTACTGAAACAGCTCTCATTGAGTCACAAATGATTTGCTCTTATTATCCGATCGTGGTTGTATCTCTATGTAGTGCGTTGTTAACTCGTGTAGTGAGTTACCTCCTGTTGTGGATCAATCACGTTGTGTTGTGTGGTGTGAACAGCTAAACAACTTGAACACTCATGATTTCACTGAGAGCAAGTCATGTAGTGTAACTGCACAGTTCAGCCCGACATTTTAAAATCATGTAGTGTGAACTAGGCTTAAGCCTTGAGTCAGGTCAGGTAAAGCCTTGAGTCAGAAATCATTTCAGTCATCTAAATTAGCATATTTTAGCATTTCATGGATTCTTTGTTTTTGTCTTTCACAGTGGTAAAAGATTCCTAGCCTAGAAATCTAGACCCACCCTAAAGGCAGTGTGGTCTAGCAACTCTCCATTGGCTTTCGAGCTGGAACAAACAAACTCTAGTCAGGCCAGTGTATAGAGTCGGCGGGCGGGTTTAACATAATGATGACAGAGTTGCGACGGTTCTCTGCTACTTGAAAACAAAGAATGGCTGCTGATGCTACCGAACAGCGGTCTTTCGAATCGGCTTTGGCCGCGACTACGGAGGACTTGGAGTTAAGCTTTTCTTTGAGAAAAGAACAAAGAACGACAATTAAGGCATTCTTTAAAAAAAAGGAAGATGTGTTTGTAGTTTTGCCGACCAGATACAGCAAAAGTTTAATCCATCAACTAGCTCTGCATGCTGGTGGGAAAACGCTTTAGTTGGTTGTAGAGGTTATTTCCCCATAACCTCATTTAGTCATGATTTTACTACTACACTATAATGTACTGTACTGTTCTATTTGCATGAGGCCTTCTGTGTGTAAAGTGCATTAAACCACAATAATTTGATAAAAGTTTGGGTCATACTTGAAGCTACTGCTGTCCTGTAGTTTATTCAAGACTCCAAACATCGGCATTCCCTTTGGCACAGCGGTGGAGTATGAGATGATCGTATTGGTGTATTTATTAGTGACATCCACCTTAACTAACAGCAGGTCGCCTACTTCTGTTTAGAAAAGAGCAACAAACAGAGAAAGTGTGCTCTTTAGAAAACTGCAGGTGTTATGTAAATAACTGCATTTACAGTAAGTGACCAAAGCATTTAATAGCAAATGCTTTAGTAATTTGCAATGAATCATGGATTTACAAACTTTACAAATGTTATTTATTGTAAGTAGTAGTATAGACAAGATTTGAATTCAGTAATTATCCTTAAGTATCCTTGTTTTAAGCAGAATTCATGGCTTTATATAAAAAAAACGTACCTGAATGGTCGCTGTTTCCCAGCCCTGGAAAAGGCAGCAAAGCTGCAAAGCACAGAAGACTGATCGCTGTCAGAGCCATTCTACCAGTCTGCTCAGTGTGTCTGAATGTCTCTCTCAACCAAACCTATTTATATATTTTTGTATGCTAATTTTACTAATTGTTTTGGAAGTTTTTTTTAGAAATTCATACCTTAACAAGAACAGGTCAGGCAAGAAACTCAAGGAATCACAAACAAATCTGACTTTTCAAGTCTCACTTCCTGAACCTTGTGCAATACACTGACAAGACAAGTGTTGAGTCCTTTTTAGCATAGTCATAAAAACGCACTATCCAAACTTAAATGATCGTAATTAATAAATGCTTTGGAACACAGACCTAAGGTTGGTCTCTTTTTGAAGACACTCAACAGCTAATTGAATGAGAGAGAAAAAAAAATAGATTAAACAGTTATAGAAATTAAAATTTACTGCAAAGCAAATTTCCTGTAGGCTACTAAACATTTATTCTATTTTATACAAAATGTATATTTTACAAAATATTTAGAATCTACAAAATGTAAAAAAAATTAAAGCCATATGACTTTATAGTGTTCCAATTTGATATCACAAACAATTAAGTTCCTTTGAGATTTTTTACGCTGCAGGGGCCAGTTGTATATATACATTATGTTTAGACAGTGTCTTAAGAACTAGCTTGAACAACTAGCAGTTAGTTAGGGGTGATTAGTTTACTGTTCGGTATCAAATTAGACCAATGTACCTTTTTATGTAACTAACTTAAAAAAGTTATGAAGAGTCTTGAAAAAAAAATTGGATGACTAACTCGTAAGACTAGCGTTTTATGCAACTCGTGTAACGCAACAGGAACGAAAACAGGATGCAATTGCAAATAACGCTTTATTTTGTGAAGACAGCAACAGGCAGGTCAGATGACACAACACGAAAGGGTCGGACAGGCACAACACAGATGGCGGGTGGTGCAGGGACCTTGGTGGGACAACCGGTGATGGTGCTCGGGACCGCCGGGATTAATACGTGCATGAAACACAGGTTTTAATTTCTCGTTGATAGACACATGGAAGGCGGGATGAATTCTGTACGCCTGAGACGATTTTTTTTTTCATGCTGGGAAAAACTGTTGGCTGGTACCCTAAACTAAATTCAAACGGAGAGAGGCCCGTGGATGACACTGGCAATGAATTGTGGGCGTACTCCACCATCGAGAGTTGTTGACTCCAGGAGGAAGGATTCTTGGAAACCAGACATCGCAACACTCTCTCCAAGTCTTGGTTGGCTCTATCGGTTTGTCCATTGCTTTTGGGGATGAAACCCCAAAGATAGACTGACAGTCGCCCCCAGTAGTCTACAGAACTCTTGCCAAAATTTGGACACAAATTGGGGACCCCTGTCAGAAACCACGTCCATCGGGAGGACATGTCGTCGAAAGACGTGATCTATAACGATTACTGCTGTCTCCTTGGCGGAGGGTAATTTAGGCAAGGAACTGAAATGAGCCGCCTTTAACCGGTCCACGACGGTCAAAACGACTGTCTTGCCCTGGGAGGGCGGTAACAAAATCAAGAGTGATGTGGTACCAGGGTTTCGAAGAGACTGACAGCAGTTGAACGAACCCATCTGGGTCGACTGGAAGTCTTATCAGTGGCACAAACTGAGCAAGCCAAGACAAAATTGCAGATGTTGC